TTTTGATTGTTTGAATGTTTGTGTTCGTGTTTTAATGTTCATGTTTGTGTTTTTGTTTGAGTTATTTTTTATTTTAAAAGTTGTTGTTTGTTGCGTCGTTTTAATTTTTAGGTTTTTGTTTTTGATGTTAATGGGAACCACTTGATTTAAATTGATCATTCACTTGGGGGGAGCTAAGGAGAAAATATATTTTAAATGTTAAATCAAACACTAATTATTTTGGCATTATCAAAAAGAGGGAGATTGTTGCAACTTAGTTTTCATAACTATGTTTTCATATCATGTATGTTTTTAATGATTCCAAAATATTATTGTATTGATTACTGTTTCTCCTAACATATTAGAAATATTGCTTTTGTTGTTTGTTTGTACTAATATTTTAGAGAAATCATAGTCCAAACTACTGAAGACTTCAAGACAGATTAGATTAGGGTTTATTGTAATTGGAGTATGTACTTTGTATATTTTTTGTGTCTGAAAGAGTGTAATTTTAATTGGGTAATTGTGCACACACATAATAGGGGAATGTAAAAAATTATACATTTTTAAAACTAATCATACTTTATGATCTTAGGTTCGTACGGGATGATTTGTCCTAATTGTTCCTCCATAACAGAGTTAATCAAATCATGCATTAAAAATTTTCTAAGTCCTCTTTGTCTATATGAAGTTACATTCGTACAGTCGATGTCCAGAGTACGAAATTTACAAACACAAGTTCATCCTGAATAAACACATTTTTTTTAGAATGGATCATACTGTACGATCATATGTTCATACAAACGACTTCATGAGTACGAAATTGGTGTGTTCCAGTTTATCCATTCGAACAGGTAAACTTTTTGAACTGATTGTAAGGTACCATCTTATGTTTATACAAATGACATCCATAGTGTGAAATGAAGCCTTCCATTTTTGTACTGAATGAAGCATGATTTGGTTAAATAATTTCATACTGTACGATATGTGGTTCATACAGTAAATTAGCCAGAGAATAAAATCAGTTCTTATAGAATCATAACAGATGATCTGGTTCAACTTTTGAACTGATCATACTATACGATGGTAGTTCGTACAAACGACTGCCAGAGTACGAAACCAATTAGTGCAAGATCGTACGAGTAATTTTAGAACTGATCGTGTGTATGATATGCGATCGTACTATATGATCATGGATGGTCAAATTGAAATTTTTAGTTTTCTGGGTGGTTTTTCATTTCTTTCATATATAAGGTCCTAAAAAATAACTGTCTAAAGAATCTTCTTCATATTTTTTTGAGAGCAAGTATAAGAGTGCCTTAGGAGTGTGGATTAAGAGATATTGCAAGTGGAATTTATGAAGGGTTCAAAATGTTGCCCAAAGATAAGGATCACTTTGTAAGTTTGTCAAATCTCTTCCTTACTTTTTTGTAGACACTCAAGAAAAGATTTTTGGAGAAGACCCAGTTCTCTATTGACACCACGAGGGAGTGAAAGGATACCAGTTCTCTACCAACATCAGAAGCATATGAAAGCATGACGGTTCTCTTCCGACACTTGGAGAGTGTGAAAGGATGACAGTTCTCTGCCGACACTTGGATTGTGTAAAAGGATGATGGTACTCTGCCACACAGGGGATTGGTGGAAGATAGGTTAATTGTAATGGCTTCTCTGTCTTATTGTTGGAGAAAAAGGAGAGTCACTTTGGTCTAGTGCAATTCCTGAAGAGGGAGTCTTCAGGAAGTGGATGTAGGTCTAGTTAGATTGAACCACTACAAATTTCTATGTTCCTTTATTTTAGTTTTAGTTTTTATTGCACTTTTTATTTTCTGCATTTTAATTTTGTGGTTGAATAGTTTATTTGAATCTAGTAAAAAAATAGTATGTTTAAAATCTAGTAAAAAGGCCAAATTTTCATCAATTAATCTACTAACCTTCCAGCTCTTGACCGAATTTTGAAGCATTTTAATGATATTGAAGTTTTCTCCTTCGATGATAACACCTTGCACTTCGAACATCCAATCCTGGACCACATTTTTTAGATACAAAATAGCTAATAATTCTATCTGAGCCACATCCCAGTGCAATAACTGAGTTCCAAAAGCATGCATAAATCTTCCTTTCTCGTCCCTAGCAACACCACCAATTCCAGCTACATTATTCCTCTTAAGAGCTGCATCTACATTTAGCTTTATCCACCCGGGAGGAGGGGGATGCCAAGGATAAAATAGCAAATGCTGGTTAGCATCCCAGTATTCTGGTTGGAGATTTAAAAAATTACTCCTAACAGCAAAGGAGACAGCATTAGCAACAATGGAATTGTCGGACTCTTTATTTTCACCATGCACCAATCTGCACCTACTCTTCCAACCAAGACATACTATTGTACAAAAATGTTTGCAATGAGAGCATTTTTCCCTACAAACCTCTGAAGTCCTTCTAGACATTCAACAAAGCTGTCAAAAACCGAAACCTTAAATCCCCAGTTATTCAGTAACGATACCACCTTCCGGAATTTAAAACATCTCCCAATTATATGGTTGTTATCCTCTTCATCATCACATCCCCTCAAACACCCAGGAAAGGTGCTTAACCTTCTGCTCACTAGAAAGGTATTATATGGAATGGAATTATTACAAAGTATCCACCAAAAAAGTTTAATTTTCGGTTTTAACTTAAGTTTCTTCATCCAATTCCAATGAGCAATCTTCTCCTCATGAACTATAGCAGCTTCAAAAGACATTGCAGTAATGGATTTCCCAAAAACTTTACCATTTAATTCCAATTGATCTGAATCCTTGCTGTCCATAATTGGAACTTTTGCAATGAGATTGATCAGCTGCTCTCCAAAAACCATTTTCAGTTTATCCAAATTCCAATGGCCATTAGTAATAAAAGAGCTAAGATTGAAATACGAATTACCCTGTATATTAACAAATGTAGGCCAGTTAGCAATGCATTTGTCCAAGATCCATGAGTCATACAACCAATTGATAGATTTCCCATTTGAAACACTCCATCTAACAATGTTTCTAAGATATTTAGCTCCCATAGTAATAATTTTTCAAGTAGGTGAACACCCAATCTTCACTGTGGCAGGCCACACATCTTCTCCATATTTTTCTCTCAAAATTTGATTAAATAATGAGTTCGGTCTTAGGAAAAAATTCCAAGCAAACTTGGCCAGGAGGGGACCAATCTTAGAAACTACTGAGAATAAGCCTCTACCACCTTCATTTTTATGCTTACATAGTAATTTCCAAGATGCATAATGTAGACCAGCATTACCATTATTCTTACTCCATAAGAACCCTCTAGACATCTCTCAAACTCCTTTAAAATGCTCAATGGAACTAGGGAAAGAGGTGATAAAAACAAAGGTAATGATAAGAAAGAAAATTTAACTAAGACCAATCTACCTTCAAACGAAATGCTTTTCTTTCCCCATGTATTCAATTAATTAGCAGCCGACTCTAATAAATTCTGGAAATCTGATGCCCCCAACCTTAACAAAGTCATTTTCACACCAAGATAACTAATTTCCTTTACCTGCTTGAAATTGAAATGTTTTACAACTTTCTTCTGAATTCTTTTATTGGTATGCTTACCAAAAAGAACCATGGACTTAGAGTTATTCACCTTCTGACCCGTCCAATCACAGTAATTGGAAATTATACTCTTCAATTAATTAACTTCCTTAATCTTGGCCTCCGAGAATATTAAGATATCATCCGCATAGAGTAAGTGAGATACATTTGGAGCTAACCGAGAAATAGAAACACCCATACCACTCCTTAAACATAAGGCATCACATAAGATTTTAGAGCATAAAATGAATAAAAAGGGGGATAAAGGGCCCCCTTGCCTAAATCCACATTCTCCTTCAATCCAACTAGTTTTTCTCCCATTAATCAAAATACAATACTTGGGATTAAGAACACATTGCAATAAGAGCTCCATAAATTTATTAGGAAATTTAAAATGATAAAGAACTTGCCTTAAAGTTTGCCATCCCATACTATCATAAGCCTGCTCCATGTCCAATTTAATTGCTAGCAATCCACTTCTAGATTTGGACCATATGAACTTGTTAAAAACCTCCTGAGCCAATAGCACATGATAAGACAATGATCGGCCTTTTACAAAAGCCGCTTGATCCACTGAAATGACCTTATGAATAAGTTTTTCCAATCTATTTAAAAGCATTTTAGCAATGATTTTATATATAGTCATACAAAGACTAATAGGCCGGAAGTTAGCAGGCTCTTGAGGACATTTAATTTTTGGAATTAATACAATCAAGGTCTCTTTCCAAGATCGATCCATAACACCAGTTGACAAGAAATGTGTAACCATAGTCCATACATCTTCTTTAATCACATTCCAAAAATCCTTAATGAAAGAGAATGTAATCCCATCTAATCCCGGAGAGATGTTTTTCTCAGAATTCTCCACGACCACCTGAAGTTCATCCCTTGTAAACTCAGCATCAAGCATAATTTGGTCAACATTACTAATGCAGCAGACAGATTCGGCCATCCATCCATTGAGCAATTTCTCTGTTGCCATTTCAACTTGAAAAAATCTAAAAAAAGTTCTCTAGATCACAGCTTCATCTTTCGATACCACACCTTTCGTAGTCTTGATATGACTAATCTAGTTATTACTCTGTCTTGCATTCGTAAAAGCATGAAAAGAAGACGAATTACAATCACCTTTATCCATCCACCTTGCTTTAGCTCTTTGTTTCCACCAAGTGTTGAGGCGAGCCAAAGTAATCTTGAGTTTATTGATTTTAAATCTCAAAAGATGCAATCTTTCAAAAGAGATCCAACCTTTCGACTCCTCCAATTGGATTTCCAGAATATCATTCTTCAACTTGTCCCTTAATAGATTCAGATTTCTGTGTTTCTCCTTACTCCAGAAAAAGAGTGCTCTTAAAGCTCTCTTAAACTTTAAATTGAGAATAGAGGTCGGGTCACCCATGCTTTTTTTCACCCAGATTTTTCTTACTAAGGATGCTACACCATGATAAGAAACCCATACTTCTTCATATCAGATATCTTTTTAACAAACTCCACCGGTTTGAAAATATCCAACAGTATAGGACAATGGTCCGAAGCTATACGAGACAAGTGTTTAACTAGAGCAAGATGTATGATGTTTAGAGCCGAGGAAATAATAAAACATCTATCTAACTTCTCCAAGATTCGAGTACTTTCGGATTTATTATTACACCAAGTGAATCTTGGCCCCATTGATCTAACCTCATGAAGATCGTTATTAATCATGAAACTATGAAAATCCTTGGAAGCTTGAGTCAAGCTGAACTTCTTCCCTCCTCTTTTCTCATCTTGGTAAAGTACACAGTTGAAATCTCCTCCTACCCCCATAGGTAGATCACCTGAACAATGCCTTTCAAGACTGTACCATAGCAACTTCCTTTCGAAAGCATTAGTACTGCCATAAACAGAAGCTACAACCCAACTACCTTTACCGAGAACCTCCAATTTACCCACAACCATTTGGGAGGAAACCTCAATAACTGAAAAATCAGCTAAATCTTTCCTCCATAACACCATTAAACCTCCTGAATGTTTGGCCGCAGGAACCACAAAAAAACTCCAATTGTTGCCCAAAATTTTCAAAATTTGACTATTATCAAGAGAACTAATCTTGGTCTCCAACAAACCGACAAAGAACACCCTATGATCCTTGATCACCTCCTTAAGATATAGAGTAGCCTCAACTTTCTTGGTTCCTCTACAATTCCAAAATTGCAAAGAAGTCATCGTTTAAAGATGGGGGAAGGACCCCAAACCTTTTTTGTTTTTCCACTTTCTCCCTTTCTAATGAGGAAAGATATTACCCGAACCAAGGGATTTAAGCTCTTTAATCATCTTAGCTTTCTTTTCATAAGAGTGACTTCCAACAAAAGTCAAATTTGAAAAAGATTGTTCCTTATCTATCTTCTGCATAGTCCCTGGCTGAAGCTCTTCACACTTATCCTTGACACATAAATTGAAGCTATTAAAAGTATCTAGGATTTCTCCTTCCTCTGCACCTCCCCTCTCTTCATAATCAAATGTCTTCAGGTTGCTTGCCACCTCCAAATAAAATAAAGCACCAAATTTATTATTAATTTCAACATCAAAATTAACCTCTGTTCCATCTCCTTGTTTGGCTCCTGGAATGACTTCCGTAGATGGAATATCTATCTCAATTACTTCATTCAAAGCAACTTTAGGTAAAAGAGTATCTTCAATAACAACAGCTAGCTTATTACCTAATTTATTAACATCCAAATTATCCATATTCTTTTGATTAGAAATACCAATCTTAGGAATAAACATCTTCTTCATTGGGGCAGAATATTTTTTATTAAAAAATCTTCTATTATTAATAACTTTTTTAAATCTTTTTTTACCATGTTTAACAAGTGTCTAGGATTCATTATCCACTTTTCCCCAAACATTAAGTGAATTAGCACCAGCATTAAGAGGATCCCGACCACCATTCACCACTGCAGGCTGTACATTATTGGAACCAGCTTCCACCTTGTTCTTCAAATCAACACAAGCATTAACAGCATGCCCAACCTTTCCACATTCAGCACAGATTTTTTAAACCCCTTCATACTCCACCTTCTGAAAGAAATTCCCGTCAATCCTTCCACCCATACACCTTCAGGAAGTTTCAAATCTAGAGGAATGCACACACTAACCTGAGCAAACTCCCTCCTGCTCCACTGGAACATGTTCCCATCTAGAAGATACGGTTTGGCTACCAGAGAAGCTATTCTACAAATGTTGACCTCATCCCAGCATTGAAGGGGTATGTTTGGCAATCTAATCCACACAGGAGATGAAATGCCTTTAAGAGATGTAGGATTGAAATTGGCTAACCATTTGTCCAATCCGACCACCTGACCTCTAACCCGCCTAGGGCCACCTGAAATAACATTCTCTACAGCTATAGAATCTTTGAAAGAGCACAGAATCCAACTAAGACCCAATCTAGCGATGTGGAATTTCCCAAACTTATCCCACTGTCTTCTTAATTCTATGCTTACCACGTGGAATGGAATATTATCACCAAAATTCTTAATAACAATAGTATTTTCTAACTTTTTGGCATATTCCAATTCCTTCTCCACCTGGAGAATCACCACTTTACCATCTTTAGATAAAAAAGAATCCAGTTCCAGGTTATTTACATTCACGTTCGATTTTCTGCTCCACGCCGATTGTAACCGCACATTGCTATCCTTATTCACTGATGAAGCTGCATTTGTAAAAATAGCTCCTAGACCTCCTTCAGGATAAACATCACTCTTCTTCTGAGACAAAACCTCATCCACATTGATTACATCCCGTGTATTATTGTCCACCGAATCATTTATGTAAAAGTCTCATTTAATCAGTGACGACGGCAAAGATTTTGTACTAAAACTATTGTTAGAATATGTCCTCAATATAACAGATGACTAGTCTTCTAAATTCAGACCACCAATAACATTTTCCTTCACACCCAGAATTGGCGAAACCTTCAAGTTATTCAGACAATCCTCCTTGACAACATCCTTTCCTTTGCCAGGAACCAGAATGGGTATCTTCTTTTTATCCAAAATTTCACCCTCGTTAATAATCAGCTGTTTTTCCTTAAAACCTTTGAAGTTCTGGTTGAACCCCTCCAAAACTTTAGAAGCCCCATTAAAAACCTCAGAAGAATCAAGAATCGGTACAGCCAAACCTTTTATGTAATTCTTCCTAGCTTCCGTAAGGAGGAGACCTCTTTGCTCCACCAACGTCCCTCCGGTCCACCGGAGTTCCAGCCAATCGCCGGACAAAACAGCCGCTAAAAATAAGAACCGCCAAAATAGAAATTTGAAATCCCAGCCTTTCTCACACTAACTTCCTCACACTAACTTTCTCACACTAACTTTCTCACACTAACTTTCTCCATAGTTTTCTAAATTGCACTTTCTCCCAGTTTTTTAATTTACTAATTCACCCACCCTCTTGGTTAGCATTGGGACATTTGTAATACGTCTAACAACCTATTCGAACTCTCAACATTTATTTTTACCTTTCTTTTATGAATTGTATTATTCTTGTGAGGTTCTCACCATTATGTGAGGTAGTTTCTTTATAGTGTCAGGAAGATTTGGCTATTGTAACTTTTTAGGTTATTATTTAAATTCTAGTTTAGGGTTGGACAAGGTGTGGAGTAAGCCAATTTTTGATTTGGTCTGATCCAAGTAAAAATTCTTTGTGCTCTTTTCATTTTGAATTATTTAATTCTTACGTTACACTCATTTCACTATTTTTTTTACAAAAGAAAATTATTATTTTTTAAATTATATTTCTAATTAGTGCACAATCCAATTTACCCCCTCTTTGGTTTATGTAGTGTTACTCACTTCCATTTTATTAGAAATGGCCTAGAGGAGAGTTAAACTAGGCTAGACATTTGGAGGAGTTGGATGCATGTGGGGTCTAAATAAGCAAAGTTTTTCCACCTGAGGCTGACTAGATATCTATCGAAGCTGGCAAGGTGTCTAAAAACTTCAAAGACTATTTAGGAGTGAATGGATCAGGATGGGTTGGGTTAGGATAATCTTAATTAGAATTAGATAAACTGGGTCCAAATTGGGTTAGCTTATATACATGATCTAGTCAAGCTTAAGGTTTTGTCAATTAGGTTAACTAAATGATGATACTAGGGATCTCAAATTAAAAGCTAAGGCCATTGGGATATTGAGTTTAGTCTTAATCCTTAAAAGAAGGAAGAAATTGCAATTTAGAAATTTTGGATCAATTAGTAAACATTGGGTTGAAATGTATTTGGTTTACTTCAATGAAAGGTTTATAAGTCTTGTGACATGACCATAGGACATAGGGTATGCTCTAACTAAGATAAATATATTGAGGTAGTTTAGGGTATTTTACTTATTTTAGGATTAACCATGATCAAATGAGTTCATCATGTTCCAATGAGTTAACCATGGGCTAGATAAGGTTTAGGTGAGTCCTAAGACAAGATTAGAAGGTTGAGGATCCAAATCCAAGGTCTAGGTTAACTAGATTAACCAAGGGATTCAATGTTTGGTAGTTTGGGTATTTTAATAATTTTAAAATTTTTTGTTAACCTAAGATCATTTATGTTGACTAAGGGTCATGGGTGAGCCAAACCAATCCTAATGAAGGTCATGGATTAGTTTGAATATACAATAGATCCAAAGGCATTAGTTTTGTTCATATTTACCCAAAGGTTAAAGGTGTAAGGTAATTTTCTAATTTATGATTTTTAGGTTCAATCACGGGTTTGACATAAAGCTTGTGTTTAGGGAGAGATATTCACCCACCTAAGTCCACTAATGAGTGTTCAACTAAGTTTTAATTTTTTTTTTAGTGTGAGTCAATGCTAAATCCATTGGTGATCTCCTAGGGTTATTATATGTCATATCTATACTAAGATATGAAGATCTATGCCTTGAGTTCTCTTAGAGGGGAGGAAAGTATTTACCTTATCTAAAAATGAAGTTAGTAAATAAAACCTAATGGGTGTGATGCTCTCAAAAGTATGCCACACATATTGGTGTTAACTAAGGTAGTTAATGAGATCCAAAAGATCACTTTAGTGCAAAGGTGTTTAATTAGATTTGGAAAGTTTGGAATTGAAGAAAATGAATGATTATAAATGAACGGTTCAAATCAAAGAATTTGATTGATTTTACTTTGTTGTTAAATTTTATTTAGCATGATTAATTTTTATTTTAGTTTATATTTTGGTTTATTTTCAAGATTAATAATTTGAATATATTATGTGAAGGTGATTATCTAGTCTAAAATAAAAGGAGGACTAACTATGGAGAATCTCACCTAATCTTTGAGAAATTAGGAGGGGAAAATGATTATACTAGAATGATGCCTAGAAGGCATTATCCAACACTAGCTTGTTTAACATTAAGTAAAGACTGACTAAGCATGGAAACTCACTCCTATCCTTGTAAGGCTAAGAGTTTCATTCTATTCCTAAGGAAATGTTGCCTAAGTATAAGGACTCAAAACCTAACCTAATAAAACTAGCGGGATATTGTAATGAAAGAAAGCTTAAGTGTGGGGAATCACACCAATCCTTAAAATGTTAACATGATTTTAGGATTGCTCAGCTAGGAACCTAAAAAAAATTATCCAATGCTAATTAACCAAACTAAGTTATAAAGATACCTTAAAAAGAATTATTCAACACTAGCTAATTATTAGAATGAATCCTAAATGTGGAAACACACACCTATCTTTAAAGGTCTAATATGAATTTGGGAGGTAGAACTACAAAGGAAACACTTATTAACTAAATGAAACTAGGAAGGTACCTAAAATTATGTTAAACATCACTAACTAGTATAGCCTTAAGGAAAGGAAGCCTAAATATGGGTACTCACACCTATCCATAAAAGTCTAATAGTATTTTAGGAGCATGATTTTATGAGGTTAAATTAGGAAGGTACCTAAATAAGTATTTTTTGAAGATTTGGTTTCATGAATTATGGTTTTGATGATAACAAACAATACGACTGCCTTTTTCTACTGACATTTTAGGGCCAAGAGATCAGATGACAAACGGAACCAGCTCATGATTGGGTAGATTAGGGTTGAGTAAGTTTGTAACTTTTCTTTTTTCCTTTCTTGAGTCAATTATAATCTTGGAAGTGTCTGATGCTAAGTAACCCTACACAGACACTTGAGTGGTTTTTTTCTTAACTGAGTTAGAATTTCTATTTTTACTC